AAGAGCCCATTATTCTTACATCAATGCTATTCCATCCTGTCTGAGTCTATCAATAAAAAACAAGACATTGCAGGAAAGATGTCAATTATAGCCACTCAAGAAGAAATAGAAATGAAAGCTTGACCATTCTATACAAGTTGAAAGAATCTGAATGTTAATTTAAAAACGTCTAAAAAAACCTTCAGACTCAGTGGCTTCATTGGTGGAATTATGTCAACATTTTATTGAGAGATAATACCAACCTTTTAAAATTGCTTCAGCAAATAATGGAGAGGGAACACTCTCCACCTCATTTTATGATAGTAGTGTTCTGAAACCACACAATGACCAGAAAGAAACCAGATACAGAGATTCCAAAACAGAGATTTTTTAAGAAAAAAACTACAGACCATCACGTCTCATAAATAAAAATGCAAAAGTCTTTCAAAAAAATATTAGCCAAAACTGAACTTACTAGCATATAAAAAAAGATGATGGTGAGTACCTCTGAATTGATTAGGAGATTCAGTGCAGTTCCATGAAAATCCTGGCAGTTTTTTTTTTTTTAAACTGTGAAGCTTATTTTAAATTTTGCCTGGGATGACAAAGGATCTTAAATAGCCAAACTATTTTGAAAAGGATAATAATATTCGCAATCTTACAGACCTGATTTCAAAAACAACACGTGGCTCTGAAGGTATGGACCAGTTTTATCCTGTGACTTATAAATTGGCAAGTAAATAACTTCCAAACAGGGAGAAAAGGTGCAGCTCTGACACCATCATGTAACTTCCCAAGGTGGCTACTTTTGAAGAATTATACTCATTTGGCATGATTTCTAAGGAGAAAAAAAAATTCATGTTGGATTCCCACCCACCTGGACTGCCTCCACAGAGGTCTGCCTTACTGACCTGTTGGCAGCCAGGTCTCTAAAGAACATGAACGTTGGCTGAAGAAAGAAAGGAAGAGAATTATGCACTTCTTGGAAAGTTATGACTCATCGATGGTGTATTACCAGGAGTGATCCCGCAGAGTCAGAGCATAGCCAGGTCAAGTCAGAGACCCAAGCTATCAAAGGCAAATGGCACCAGATATGCAGGAATTTGTTGGAAGAATATGAACAAGTAAAAAGTAAATTGTTAGCACTTCAGAAAGTTTTAAAATCCACAAGCCCCCAGTTTTCCCAGTGTCTTTCAAATAGAACAAGACATTGTAGTGATCCTGTGTTTGGCCCCTTCCCGTTCCTGCAGAACACAGAAATGTCAACCCAAGTCTTTTGAGTTGAATAAAAATGAGTACATGCAAGTAACAAACTGGAGTGGACATGTGGAATTCCATCATTGAGACTAAAAGAAATTAGTATGTTACTAACTCTCTCCCCCTTGGCACTGATTGAAAGCAGCGTGATACCAACTTTAAGATTTATTGTAGCTTGTTTGAGCCATTGACAAGAATCCACTCAGTTTCTCACTGGTGTGGTA